AGTGTATAAGACGCACCCAGATTTTCACCCTCTTTTTTGAGGGGAAAAGGTGCATCTTATACTCCAAAAATACAGTAAATACAATCAAACGAGTCCTCCACTGCTCTGTTCACAACAGAATACCTTATGCCACAAGACTTGAAATTTTGGGCTTAGACAATTTAGAACTTCGCCATCTTTGATCTGACCTAAGCAGCGTAGTGCATAAAATTATCTGCTACAATGTTCTACCTGTCAATGAATACTTCAGCTTCAATCACAACAACACACGAGCTCACAGTAGATATAAACGTATGCTCCAAACTTGATTGCAGAAAATACGACTTCAGTAACAGAGTTGTCAATGCCTGGAATGCACTACCTGATATTATGGTTTCTTCCCCCAACCCCGCAAAATTTAACCTTAGACTGTATACTGTCAACCTCACCCCATTCCTAAGAGGTCTTTAGGCACCAGCGTGCCTACCGTTCCTGTCCTAATATTCCCTTGTATTCGCATTCATTTCATGTATTCATAATCATGTTTATACTTACGGTATATCTGTTATCTAATTCATACTTGATGGAATCAATCAATCAATCAACCAATAAAAATATCTAAATAAATAAGTAAACAAGTAAGTAAATAAGTAAGTAAGTAAACAAACAAACAAATAAATAAATAAATAGGACATCTTTAAGAGCCTCCCTGTTATTGCAGATCTCCCAGGTCTGGAGGTTAGGTAAGCCCATCAAATATTTGTCTGGTTTTTATTATTTAAGTTGCGCTTGTTTTTGGCCACCATTACTATTTTAATCTTTGTTGTGCATGTTTAATTTTATCCCTGTACAAGTGCTGCACAGAGTCACAATTTTCAGATAGGCAGCTATGTAAACTGTTTTGATTTAATTACGGTAATTCATGTTTCTTTCCACATATTTATAGAGGATGGTATTGAATATAAAATCATTCAGTAAATGAATTTCTGTATGGTATTTATACTGTATATTCAATTAACTGGATGGTGCTGAAAGTGGTTAATAAAATAATGTGATTCAAACACAAAGATTAAACACATAAAATAACCAATTTCCTTCCTCTTTATAAACAATATAAGAGTATTTAAAACTCTATGTTTAATGCATTTTTAAAAGTTTCATTATTTTGGGAAGACAGTTTATTGTCATACTATAACTGTGATGACGAACCTATGGCACGTGAGCCGTCGACCCAGCTCGGCTCCACCCTGCATGTGTGCGCGCATCTCCCAGCCAGCTGATATTTGGGTCTCTGCTGCACACATGCAGGGGGTGGGGCACATGCAGCGGCCGTACATGCATGTGTAGGAGAGCAGGGGGTGCATGCACATGTGCGGGGGAGCGCAGGAGGCTTTTGCTCCCAGGAGGATGCAGGAAGGCTACAAAATGGGGTACGCGGGGTGTGGCGCGGGCCATTTTTGCTCCCAGGAAGCTGCAGGGAAGCCTAGTAGGCCCAATATGGGGTGTGTGGTCGCATGTGTATGCATGGGAGGGCAAGGGGAGTGGGGGGGTCTTGTACGAATGTGCAGGTGTCACACAGAGGTCGTGAAATGCATTATAGATACACTTTCGGTACACAACAACAAAAAGGTTAGCCAATGTACAGGATCTCAGGATTATATAGTCAAAGTTGTTCTTTCTTTGGGTCATAGATCTTGACAGTTTATGGTAGAAATAGTTTTTAGATTTGTCTTATTGGAGCTAGAATTCCCCAGCCAGCATGCTGGCTAGAGAATTCTGGTAGCTGAAGTCCAGACATTTAGTTATTAAGATTAAGAAACACTAGTCTACATAGAGCTAAAATTTCTTTTAGATCCTATTTTCCTATTCAATTTTGTTGCTTATTTTTGTGTATATACTGTACATATAGTATAATACATACAATACAGTTACCGTATTTCCAGCCTTAACACTTTAGGTATTTTATTTGAATTTAGGGAGTTCTGATTCCCAGTTTTGTTTTTAAGGACAATAACCACATGATTCCCAACAATTACACTGTTGAAGAAACAAAGATTGGAATAAAATTTACTACATTTTCTTGCAGAAAAGTCATAAACTCTGATCAGTTTTTGATATGCAAAAGAAAGCTCCGGGCTAGAGATTTTTTTAATTCCAAGGGCATGTCTTAGTAAATAACAGAGTAGATCTCTCTCATGACTCAAGTAACATATCGAATATGTGCCATCTAAGATGATGGAAGTCCCATTGGCTTCTTCCATGCAAGTTTCCTACCCCATTCAAAAATCACCTACACAGGATAAATCCCATCATCTCTGTTTTTCTATGAGCCGATACACTACATTTCTGACTATATTGAGGTACACACACACAGACACACAGAGAAATTTTCTACAGTACTTGTAAGATGAATGTTTTGCAACTTATGGACACTGTTTACACTATGAGTGGAAGTTGCCTCATCTTTGTTCTAAATAACTAAATTTTCTTCCTGAGGTTCTAGAGATTCATGGAGCTTTGACATCTTACATTTCTCCCCTTTATAAATAAGAGCTATGTGTGCAAGGAGGAAAATTACCCGGAAATGCAGCCTGCATGAACTGAAGACTGAGGGTAGAACAGAAAGTGAATGTCTGTCAGCTGGAAGGAAGAAAGGATTTGCTTGTCCTGTTTTTCATTTGTCTTTAGATTGGTGGCAAAGGTGACAGTACCTTGGCTTCATCTGGTTTTATTATGAAAGTAATTCTGGGCAGTGTACATAGCACTTAATTAAACAAACAATACTGTCAAATACTTCAAAAATGCAACATTGCATTGTTGTTAAAGTGTCTTAAGTCTAAGAGGAGCATTTGCCCCCCCCCAGCACTTTTTCTACTAGGAGATGCTTTTCCAGATGCTTTTTTCTATTTAAAAAAAAAGGGAAGGATGAAGCAAATCCACAAAGGAGAAGCGATCATCCTAACCCGAGCCATTAAATGATGGCAAACTGGGAGGGCTCATAATAAGGGACGGTTACTTTATCTGAGCTGCAAAAATTCGGAACGCTCAAAACAATTCTAGATGTCCAGCGGAAAACGAAACGGAGTTTTTCTGGCTAGAATACAATAGCAGAGTTGGAAGGGACCTTGGAGGTTTTCTAGTCCAACCCCCTGCCGAGGCAGGAAACCCTACATCACTTCAGACAAATGGCTATCCAACATCTTCTTAAAGACTTCCAGTGTTGGGACATTCACAACTTCTGGAGGCAATTTGTTCCACTGGTTAATTGTTCTGTCAGGACATTTCTCCTTAGTTCTAAGTTGCACTTACATTTGATCGACTCTAGCGTAAATCCAGCCGGGCAGTTTCTCCAGCAAAAGGAAGGATGAGGAAAAAAAACATTTCTCGTTCCGTTAATTTATTTATTAATATGCAACCGTTCATGCAAGTAGGCGAGTAAGACACAGAAGAGCTCGTCTTACAGAAAGGGATCATAGGAGCTCGTGGAAGAAGGCGGGAAAGGGGACGGGGAAATGGGAGGAAGTTGAAGGATCCCACGCTTCGAATCGTTCTTTTATGGCTTGGAGTGGGGGAGTGAGGGGGGGAGGGAAGCCCAGGCAAGTCCTCGCCTTGCGATAGGGTAGCTTTTCTCCTCAATTCTCAATCGATTGGTCGGTTCCCCATTCTAGCGAACGCGTCCCCCTCCTCTCTTTCCTTCGCAGCCCCCAGCGGGGTTTAAAACTTGTAGCGCGTCCCGCCGCCTCGCCCTTGAGGCGACTGGAAGGAAAAAGCGCGGGACCATGAAGGGGCTGAGTCTGTGGGCGCTGCTGGCGCTGCTGGCGCCGGGGAGCTGCTCCCCTGGCGAGGGGCTCCTCTTCCCTTTCGGCTTGTCTCGGGGCGACAAGGCGTTGGAAGCGGGGGACGATGTCAGCTCTGCGCCGCTCTCGCTCGACACGCCGCTCCACTTCTACGGCTCGAGCGTCCGCTCCCTCTATGTAAGTGCCCGGGAGGCGAAAGGGAAGGGGATCGGGCTGGAAAGAGAGAGAGAGCGAGCTGGGAAGAGGAAGGGAAGGAGGGGCCGCGGCGAATGGATTCAAGCCAAGGACGAGGTCCTGAAGGATGTGGGGGCGAGGGGAGGGGAGGGGAGGGTCCCGGAATGCGATTTCCAAAGAAGGAGCGCGAGAGGATGGAGAAGTGGGGGGGGGGGAGAGAAGGGGGAAGCGGAGTTGCTGTCACTGCGGGTGGAAGAGGCTGCTGCTGCTGCTACTCGAACCGCCAGCCAAGGAGGAGGAAGTCTGCTCTGATAAGCGGCTGCTTCATCCCTAAAAGGGAGAGGATGGCTGGCTTTGGTTGAAGGCATCAGGGTAGAAATCAGGAATCGTGAGTTCTTGTCCCGGCTTTAGGACCGAAGCCAACTGGGTGACCTTGGACTTTCTCTCAACCCTATCAAGCAGACAATGTCCAGCTCTGGAGGGTGGGGGGAAACTTCCCCAGAAAAAGGCAGGGACAAGTCCAAGTCCAAGAGGCAGTGGTGTATTAACCATTAAGCAGACTAAACATGTGCTTAGGGCACCAGGCCCAAGGGGGCACTACAAAGTTGAGAAAGAAAGAAAAACCCAATGAAGATTAGTACAGTATATACAAAGGAGGGGGGGCCACTAAGATTTCTCAGTGCTTAGGGCACCAGTGAGTCTTAATCCACCACTGCCAAGAGGTTTCCAGGAGTCCAAAAACTGACTTGAATTGGAAAGTCTGAGAAATTAAAATCTTCCATATTGATCCTCCATAAAGCTAAGTAGATGTCTATCTCAAGAGACAGTTTTCCTTTGCTTGTTGGTTCTTTGAGTTGAGATTCTCTGGTCCCTATTACAGAGGCATGACTGCCGTTGGGTTGTGTCTTGGGCAAGGAGCGCTCTTGCCTATGTTCAGGGCCATTTTATCCTTCCATCTGAATTGAATGTAATTCTACATGAGTCCATGTAGCTTGCAGTTACTGTAAGTCTCATAATTCAAACCGATTTCCCAAGTCAAAACCTGGAGTATGGATTTTAAATAAGAATTCCTAATAAAGAAGAAACTTCTATGTTCTTTGTAGCTATTCTCCATCAGGTTATTCTAAACCGAACAGTGTCCCTTGAATTTCTGTGAACCAGGGGTGATCTGATATAAGTAGAATTTTTTCAATAAAATGTCAATGCTTGAGAAATTGCATGGAATATCAGAAAAAGAAATTATTCAGGAGGAAAGCAACGAGATGTTTTGGGTGCCGTGGGAAGGATTTGTTCTGAGTTGTTTTGGCAATTAGGATAGACTTTTGCTAATTCCAAGCAAAATAGAAAGCAGATGTCCTTTGTTTTCTTTTTTCCAAGATTCACAATCCTAACTAGAAAAGGAATTGTTACTATCATTTCAGCAGTTGAATCCACTGAAGTTGCAGGTCATGCAAATAAAGTAATGTTCATGCATGTCAGCACAAAAAGCAGACCCTGTTCTGTTCTAAATATTTACATTCCTTTCTTAGTACAGTTCAAGCCACAGATCTAATCCATGATTATTCTTTCATGCTGATTACTAGCTTGATTTGATCTGATCTTGGTTTTTCTCAGCATGGTGAGGATTGGAACAATGATAGGAGTAGGTCATCTTGCTTTTCTTCTTGTGCTTAAAATTGAAAGCTTTCAGAATATGTGGATTTGTTATATTCAGGCACATTCTGATCTCATTCAAACAGCCAAATCCCATAAAATGCTTTCAAATAGGTGGTCGCACTTAGTTGACTGTGACTGTTCTTGAAAAAGTTAAGCAGAGATGCATACAGATAGTCCTTGACCTACGACCACAATTGAGCCCAAAATTTCTGTTGTTTAGTGAGACATTTGTTAAATGAGTTTTGTCCCATTTTATGACCTTTCTTGCTGTACATGTTAAATGACTCACTGCAGTTGATAAGTTAATAACATGGCTGTTAAGTGAATCTGTCTTCCCCATTGATTTTACTTGTCAAAGGGTTGCAAAAGGAAATCACATGACCATGGGACACAGCAAATGTCATAAGTATGAACCCATTGGTAAGCATCTGAATTTTGATCACACAATCATGGGAATACTACAAAGGTCAGAAGTGTGAAAAACAGTCATGTCACTTTTTAAAGTGTTGTTGTAACTTTAAATGATCACAAAATGAATTGTTGTAAGTGAAGGATTACATGTATTTGGATGGGAAGCCATTGGGAAATCCTAGGTTTGTAAGCTGGAGTTGAAAAAAAATCCCAGAGGTAGTTAAACTCTTTCCATATTGTTACCATATGGATGTATTGCTGAAGTCACCAGAAATTCAGCTTGATGATAAGGAAATCTTACAGTAGCAAGTAATGAAAGGCATTTATTTAGAGATTGTGTATGCCATTTTCATAAAGCTGTGTCATTCATTCATTCTTTCATTCATTCATTTTTTGAATACATTTTTAGGAAATCCAAGGTTTACACCTGAGGTGTCCTACACTGGCAACTTTAACATTTGTATATTTATATTTATAAATGGAATATTTATACATGTTCAGCATATCTCATAAAATTAGGGACTGAAATAACCAAGAATAAAGTACGAATATGAAGCAGCATGAAAATATGGAATAAGATAAAGACTCAACAGTTGACATGTATGGCAAAGAAGAATTCTTCATCTGATGGCACATAAAAGACAGTACCATGTCTTTTGTGAGCAACTCCATTCTGGTTGGGGAATTCTGGGAGTTGAAGTCCACAAGTCATAAAGTTGCCCAGGTTAGACACCCTTGGTTACCCTATTTTTCAAAGTAGTTTGGTAGACCAAGGTGTTTAAGGGATGACTGTCTTCCATTTAACATGCCTTTATATAAGTTCAATGTATCAGCCCTGTAAATCTTCCCAGTAGAAGAGGGGCTGATACATTATATATACCAGTCAAGACCTGGATTTTTTGGGAGGTTTTATGTTAATGTTTATGATAGTGATTCCATTGCAGTTGAAGAATTTATCTGTCAGAATCTGCTCATCAGGCATCTTCAGTACTGTCTTTTATATGCTATCAGATGAAGAATTCTTCATATTTCCATATTTTCATGCTGCGTCATATTCCTACATTATTCTTGGTTATTTGAATTACTAATTTTATGAGATATTCTAAACATTTATAAATCCGGTTCTTTTTAATTTAGAAAAAATAGAAAAAGTATATAAAAGTATTGCAGGTCACAACATTGCTGTAAAACTCCCAATAGCTACTAGACAATGTAAATACTGTATTGACCTATAATGAAGCTGCTGGAAATTGCAATGAACGGTTCCTGGGGCAGAAGTGACCTTATGTGCACATGCAACAGCTGTTTGGCTTTAAGACCATGGAGCACTCTGCCAGGATCCATTAATTCCAAAAGACAGAAGGAAGGAATAACAAGTTTAGGAGTATACAAATCATTTACATCTTTTTTCTAATAGTAAACTATCAGCTGTTGTGTGCAGCTTTGTTCTAGTTTCAACAAAGATTCTAATCTAGCTAATCTGTGTTTGAGAGTCTTCTGCTGAGTGTGGACAAGCTAAATCTTGAAAGTATCAGGGGTGTGATTTACTATTGATGCTAGTTGGGAGTCTCACAAAATGTTCTGCTGTTGTTTATTGGGAAACACAAGCAGGATAATGCTGTTGAACTTGTAAGACCTACTTGGAAATTTCTATAGCACGTGATCGGTAATTTTGGGCCACACAATGCTGGGCTAGAGAGACCTTCCATCTGATTGAATATACTTCTGATGTTTGTGAGTAATGACTTTCAATCCACATGTAAGCAACAGGTACAACTAAAATATCAGCTTTGGGTTTCTCTCCATGTGTTCTACTTAGAATGGCATACAATCAGGCCAAAGCATGAGTATAGCAGGCACAGTGCACCAAATGGACCTAGTTAGGACCCCAAATTTTATTGCCAGTGAATCCAACAAGTACTGTGCCCCCCTTATGGCATACCTTATTAAACTTAAAATACCTAAACACTAAAAGACCTTTACTTTGGCATAATGTCATGCCCTCCCCTCAAGATGTGTTCAAAGACCAATATAGAAAGATTCCTTACCCAGAGAGACAATGCCCTTGAGACTCTGGATACACAGAAACAACAGAGCATGTGCTCCTCCAGTGCCTGTATTGTAGAGACATTCATATTAGCTTCATTACACCATCACTGATACCTAGGGTATATGGGGCAATTTATATCGCCCTGCTGCTTTCAGCGCCTTCCTACCAAGCAGTTTGAAAGCTTGAAAATATAAGTAGATTAATATGAATCACTTTGGTGGTGAAGTAACAGAGTTCTATGTATATTGGGCATATAATAATACTGGTCACATGACCATGGGAATTGTTTTTGGGCAACGCTGACTCCCTCGGCCAAGAAAGTGAGATGAGCATCGAGCCCTAGAAACAATCACAACTGACAGGGATTACTGTTACCTTTTGTTGCTTTCAGATACAATGTTGCAAGGGTCTGTGCAGTATAGCTCAAAATTCTAGTTGAGCACCTAGTTGTCCATATTAGAGTACTCTGTAGCCTGAAAACCTCCTTTTAAGAATCATTGTGCTACAACTGCAAGATGCATGTATAGAGAACAGTGCTGAACTAATTAATCACAGTAGCCAATCAAGGATCCTGTTGTGCATCTCTCGAAGTCCAACACCAACAAGATTTGGCCAACTCTGGTGGATGATCCTTCAAGAATTTAATGCAGGAGATAATGTAAGAAAGAAAGAAATATCTTCTTTGCAGGTCATTGGTGACCTGTGGAAGCCCACTATTTAATCCTCCTCATGTTCGCTAGCCAGAGCCACATATACCACATGCCTATGCCCACTTAGCAGCCAGCTAGCCAGAATCTGTTCACCACCTCACTTCTGTGGTAGTTTTGCTCTGATCTTCAGAGAATGTTTGTTCGGCTCCATGACTGCTAAGTTGCGGCTTCCGTAT